GCGTTGAGGTGAGGCCGACTATTTCTAGTCAGAACCTCTCAGCCTCGCACACTAGCTCCGTTTCCTTCCCCACCAGAGAGGTGACGTTCCACGTCCTAAGAGCCAGCTTATGCAGTCGAGGGTCAGACCGCCAGGGTCCCCTCCTTCGGCCGCCGTCCATTCCACACTGCACCCGACCCCTTTGGCCCCTCCTACGGGTGGTGAGTCCGTTGGAAGGGGGACCCACGTCTCCTCTTCGGGCTGAGCCCGGCCGGGCTCCGTGGGTGAAAGCCCGACCACCAGGCACTCGCCATCGTACCCCACCTCCAGGCCTGGCTCCAGAGGGGGGCCCCGGTGACCCGCGTCCGGGCGAGGGAACGCCAGATCCAGTGTTYDTATTCATCATAAGGGGTCTTCGGGCTGCGCTTTGTCTGGTTCCTCACCTAGGACCTGTCTGCATGGGTGACCCTACCAGGGGCATAAAGCCCCAGACAGCATAGCTCCTAGGATCATTGGGACACTCAAACCCCTCCACCACGATAAGGTAGCAGCCCAAGGAGAGGAAACAATCAAATTATGGTTAATTGTAGAATAATGGTTTATTGGATTAAAATTCCTTCCGTTTGATTAATTGAAAACATCAGTTTAAACCTTATTTCAGTGTAGTTTTGACTTCATCCAGCAGAGGGTGTCGCTGCTCTACCTCGACCCCGTTGAGCTGAGCAGAGAGCCGTCTCCATGTGGGCGGCATCATAATTAAACACGCAAATCTTATTTAGTTTTATTTGCGACACAACAATAATAATGGACTACACCAAACTCTAAGGAAAAGTACCAAAGGCTGTAACAGACCAGGCAAGAGAGCAGGACGACAGAACGTTAAGCTAACTGTAGCTAACGTTAGCTTCTTCTTGCAGAGTTTAACTCATGTGAATGAAAAAAAAGTTAGTCGCTACAAATAATTAATTTGAAGTTAATCTAATCTGTGAGACGAAACCCGGCCAATGAACCAATCTAATGAACAGTAACTGATGTCAAATCATGTCCAGCCCAGATAGAACCAGAGAGAATATAAACAAACAAACAATTGCCAGTAATCATTTATTTGTATTTTATTATGTTCCTAGTATGTTTTTGAGTTGATCTTTATATAAAAATATTTCCCTGTGTTTAAATTATAGTTTTTCATCTTCAGGGAGTGTTTTTACTTATTTTATTCTTTCATTTATTTTCAACTAGCAACTTAACAGATTCATGTTTTGTTATATTTTATAAATATGTCCAAGTTTAATAATGTGAGAGAAATCCACATTTCTCTGTTCATTCAGTCAATGTTTAATACAGCTGGCACAATGAGTTGTTAAAATAATACTGTACTTTTTTAAATTTAGCATGTAAAACATTAGCCCTTCATGTTATAGAAAGACGCTTGATTCAAGAGAAATGTCAGGTTTTTAAGAAAATGGCCGCTTATCAATTAATCGTTAGTTGATCAATAAGATCAATCAACTTTAGATTAATTCATTAATCGATAACTTGGTAACCACTGAATGTGCATCTTCAATCAACTCAAGAAGGCCAGTTTAGTTAATTGACAGCAGCAGACCCATAAATGTCTGAAACTCATAATTACAGATATATTCTAACGTTTGGTGTGACGACTTGTTTATGACACAGACTGAGAAATAACATTTTGTATCCCACAGTCTGTCCAGACTTGCTGCCAACTCTTGTTTTGTGAAATCAGTTTTAAAATTCTAACCCTGATAAGTAGTTTTAGTCTAATAAACTGTTCGGGACAAACTATAAACATGTCTACTCTCGAGTTTTTAACTATTCTGGTTGTAAAGTGCTCCATCGCCAGGACGGGTTTCACTCATCTGTAGATATTAAGGGGAAAAAAATGGGTGTTTTCTGTTGTAGTTTTGTTAAAGCCGTCCAATCTGATGATACAGGATTAAACTGAGGCAACAAACCTCGGAGCCATAGTTTTATCCAATCAGAGCAGAGCGGGGCGGGTCTTACTGATTAACAGTGAGCCCAGGTGCAACACTGATCAGTGTTGATATGTTGATATTTGCAACCTGAGTAATGTGTTTGTCTTCAGAGCGTCATTATTGAACAGATGTTAAAAAGAAACGTTTGGTAATTGTTACCAGTTTGATGTTAGAGAAGGATTTATTCGACAAAATGTGGGTTTAAAAGTTGAAATAATATTTTTTTAATGTTTGAATCTTAAAAAACATTAGCTGTCAAAACATGCAATTTTTTAGTGTTTTTGATTCAAATTTTTGATAAATGTTTTTATTTTATGATTAAAAAAATAATAATTAAATGCATTGTCCACTACCAAAAGTCTGCTGCATGATTTTGTTATAAATGGGTGAAAGCAGCAGAATTATGTTTTGGTTAACAGTCAATGAGTTCACTTTAGACAGCTTTGGCAGATATTGAGTTGTTAAAATAATCCCCAGGTGTAAACAGATTCAGGAGAACACCAGGTTGAAATGAAAAGATCAAGTTCTCTCTGTTGAAAAGAAAAGAAGAAGCTCGTAAGGACAAGTCGACAAGGAAAAGAATGGAGTGCCGGAGAGCGTTAGAGCTAAAGTTGGGGCTAAAATTATCTGCAAATGAGCTGTGAGATTTAAAAAAATGTAGTTTTTAACAAAACCCTGATGAGTTTGAGTTACATTAATCCCAAAAACTATCATTTTATAATGAGAAACTGTGTTAAAAACATAAAAATCCTGATCAAAAACAGTGGAAAATCTCGTATTTTGTTATGTGTCTTGAAAACGATCCTCAGCCTCCTCTGTTGGGAACGTTTGGTTCCTGCAGGTGTTGTTTTGCTCTGAACTCAGCGTCTCCTCCTCTTCCTCACAGTACAATGCGTGCACTCTGCACGGTGGCAAAGGCCAGGAGCAGAGAGAGTTCGCCCTCTCCAACCTCAAAGCAGGAGCCAAAGACATCCTGGTGGCCACAGACGTTGCTGGTCGAGGTATTGACATCCAGGACGTGTCCATGGTCATCAACTACGACATGGCCAAGAACATTGAAGGTACAGACCCTTCCTCCTTCCTGTTGATGTGTTTAAAGTTCGACACAGAGTAACTGAGCGTCTCCCCGCAGACTACATCCATCGTATCGGTCGTACGGGTCGTGCCGGTAAGAGCGGCGTGGCCATGACTTTCCTGACCAAAGAGGACTCGGCCGTGTTCTATGACCTGAAGCAGGCCATCCTGGAGAGCCCGGTGTCCACCTGCCCCCCGGAGCTCACCAACCATCCCGACGCTCAGCACAAGCCTGGAACCATCCTGACCAAGAAGAGGCGCGAGGAGACCATCTTCGCCTGATTTTCTTACCCTTTTTTTTTTTAATCATGAAGATATTTCTCTGATTTCCAGTCAGGATTTGGTGATGTTTTTTTTTTTTTTTAAATGCTGGTAAAAACACATGATCTGAACTGGTTACAGTTTGGTTTGTTCAGCGCTGTATATAAACATCAAACATAAACAACAGTTGTGGTGAAAAGCAGTCGTAATCTCCTCCATGTAATAAAGATGAGCTTTTTCAGCTCCGTCTCTTGGTTAAAAATCCCTGACACTGTTTTAAAATAAATATTTGTACGATGTGACAACAAATTTAAAACATGTTTGTCTCTTTAAAGTCTGAATACTGTTTGAGAGTGGAGATTAAAGAAGGGGAAGTTGGAGTCACCTGTGTGTTTGCTTACTCAGTTGACCTGAGTCCAGTTATAACCGTTTCTTTAAGTCCTCATCATTTCACAGCACCTGTCACAACATGTGCACAAGCTGTCTAATTTAACATTTAGTTTTATGTAGTTACAAAAATGAACATGAGAAGCTCAGATTGCAGATTTTGTGATTCTTGGTTAATTATGAATGACCGTCGACAAACTGGACGGATCCAGAGTTAATCTTTGGAATCAGTGTCAGCAACTGTAACTCACCAATCTGGAACAATCGCTACATTACTGTTAAAAACAAATCAATATTTAATAAGGACTGGATGGAAACAGGGATTTGGTCTGTGTTACATTTAGTTAACAGTAACGGCTGCTTGTTATCATATGATGCTCTGTGTCAACAGCATAATCTAAAAACAAATCAAAAAAACATATAAACTCATTATCAAATCCATTCCAAAAGCTCTCTTATGTTTRATTGCAGGTTCATTGGCTTATTCACCTATTGTTCCATGTTTACCACAATTATTAATTGGAAATTACTCTTTCAAAGATTCCAAGCTTTCCAATAAAATTATTCGACAC